ATGGTTCACACAAAATGTATGAAAAAATATAGGTAGGTAAAAGAGTCTGCAGGTTAGATAGAAAATAGGGCCTGGAGGTTACACGGCCAGAACAAAACCCAATCATCTTTCTGGAATCCCTTTCATTGCAGCCTCACTCTGCCAGACTCTGGCAGTGTGGAGACTGAGAATGTAAATGCTACTACTAGGATGTCTGGCATTGATGTCCGTAGAAGTTCATCATCACCACTGTTTGCCTCTTATGCACGCCAGGCGTGGCTTCAGCCAGGGCCTGCTTCCTCACATTTTATGTTGTGAGTGAAAGTCTTGCCAAGGCTGCGTCTATGGGCAGAGCCTAGGCCACGTGCCTGTATTCTAGTTGCCAGGGAGACTAGAAAATAGAATTCTGGCTTCTGCTTTGGGGAGACAGCATGCACAATGCGAGGGGTTCCCCAAATATAAGAAATAGATCCAAGGTTTGTGGGTTCTTTCCTGAGTTCTTGCCTCTAGAAAATGTGGATAAATATTCCATATTATGAATTTACTTAAAAAAATTATCATCTGGTTAATTCAGCCAAATTTGAGTGATTGCCTTTCATTCTGAATGCTATGTGAAGCCAAAGAAGGGTTTCGAGCAGAGAAATGACATGATTTGGCTTCGTTTTAAAGAATAACTCTTCATGCTATGTGAAAGGGAGATTTGTATCATGAGGGGCAGGATTGAAACATAGGATCAGTTAGAGTCTATTTTAATCGCCTAGGTGAAAGATGATGGTAATTTAGCCTGGATGATATTTAGAAAGTCACAAAAATAGGTCAGATTGAGGATATATTTTGAGGTGAGAGTTTACAAGATTTGCTGATAGCATGAACACTGAGTATATGAAAAATAGAGGAGACAAGAATGATTCTTAGGTTTTGGCTTGATCAGCTGAGGTGTCACTTTCTGAAAGAAGGTGGAGTGAGTTTGCAGTGGTGATGTATGGGGGATTAGGATTCATTTTTGGAACTGCTAAATTAGAGATAACCAGACATTGAAGATATTAAGGAGTTAGATGCCCATAGCTCTGAGGAGAGTGCAAGGCTGGAAATATAAATTGAGGAGCACTGGATGTAATTGGTGCATAAAGGCATGGATGGTGCAATGACGGCAGGGAGCTGTGGTGAGCTTGTCATAGTGTTCGTTGGCCTCGGTATATGTGAATTCTGATGATCACAAGGTATTATGATTTTGTGTTAGTTGGGCACATTGTAAAATCATGGGTAAGCTCTCATCTCTTTGGTGTGTGGCAGGGTTATTTATTTGGGAAGAGTTGTGATGTTTATGATCTGATGCTACCTTCTGACCTATGTCTTGGATCTTTACATGTCCGGTCATTAGCTGCCCAGAAGCAAGATGGTGGCAGAGAGAAGTAATATTGATCAAGCTCGGCCCTGAGCTGGTGGTAATGGAAGCTTCACAGGATGACGCCTCAGCCTTTCATCCCAGCACTCCTCTCCTTCCCCATCTTCACCTCTGTCCAAGGCCCTCCTGGACAGTCTTCACGGAGACATTTCTGAAGGGCTTGTTACATCCTCGGTACCTTAAAAACATTTATTCTTTCATTTAATTAGATCAGCAGAGCAACCCTAGGATATAGATTTTTTTAATTCTTACTATTCCCATTTTATAGATGAGGAAACTGAAGCTCAGGTAGATCGTGCAGCTGGTAAATGGCAGAACTGAGAGACAAACACAGGACTGCTTGACTGCAAAGCTCATATTTTTTCTGATTTATTATACTGTTTTATGCTAATAATATACCTTGGGGAAAGATGATGGCAATTTAGGTCCATATGATATTTGGAAGGTCACAAGAATAGGTGAGATATATCATATATTAAGCAAAAACACATAACAAAACAGCTAATGGTTGCTCATGAGGACTAAGTAGGTTTTACTAAAAAAAAAAATAATAAAATAAAAAAATGCAAGTGGACCTGATTAAAAAAAACCAAACAAACAGAAATGAAAACAAAAACAGAAAAACCAACCCCCTAAACAAGAGCTACATTGATTTAGTACAAACATCTTTGCAAGAAAGTGAGTGACAATGAAGGAAGACGAAGGCTCCAGATGTGACTGTCATTCACACCAAGTAATTTGGCCGAATTCACTTTGGAAGAAAAGGTAAGCAGTATAAATTTTCATCCATATCACCAAACCAAACACCTGTGATTGAACTTTTTACTTAAAGGGTAAATTTTTTATGCCTGATGAAGCCATGGTGTTTACATTTCAGATAGCTTTGTTGCTGGGTGGTTGAATGGGATAAAGTATTTAGATTAAGGAAATCTAATCTCTCCAGGCAAAACTACTTCCCAGGCCAATCACTTTGCATTTACAATGTATATCCAAGTTTCCCCATTTTCCCTCCCATTGAAATATGACCTTGGCCTCCATGTCTGAACCAGCCAGTCTTTGAGCAGATGTAGTTTAACTGTTTAGGTTGAGAACTCCAGATACAAAAGCTTACACCAGTTTTAAGAATGAGCTGAGATAACCACTAAAGAAAGCTCTTGCAGGGGGAGCCACAAAGCCAGGAACAAATCTCCAGGCCATGTAATCACAGGGGTTTATGCAAACCTCTTACAGGAGGTTTACACAAACATACATCCAATTTCCTCTTTGGAAAGGGCTGTTCCTTTCCAATGAGTCAGTGTTTAACAGAACTTGGCAAAGCATGAGCCTGTCGGCTGGAAGAAGATGAGGTTTGAAAACTCGACCTATTCTTTAAAGGAGAAAATAATCCTTAAGCTGCATTAATAGGGCCTGCCATGAGCAGCAGAGAGGGGGATCCTGTTATCAACACGTTCTCGGGGCTGGCGCTCCCTTTCCCGGCTGCCGCGGCCTCTGCTTGCCTGCACCTGCCTCGTTATCTGCCTCCTGCAGACGAGACCTGCCTTTGTGTGCCATCCCTGAGCATGGATCTGTGAGCAGGGCTCGGTTTTCTGAGCTTTAATTTTGAATGAGATGGAAAACACACTCAACACAGCCTCTGGCTCCTGTGTCTAAGTCATGGGGCAGAGTTCATTTCACGTGCCTGTCTCATGAGAAGGAATGGGCTGCCCTGGGTGTGTACATGTGCTGGGATTATGCTGTACCACGGTGTTGTTAAGTACTGAAATACTGGCTTTATACAGTAGCATAATACTATTTTATTAGCATTTTAATAAATCTAATATCTGAATCATTCATGTCTTGAGTTCAAGATCAAAGACTCAACTTTTTCAACATATGTGAAAAGATAAACTGCTGGACAGTCTACCAGCCCAGCAAGGTCTGAGATTCCCACATTCCCGGTGAGGCCCCAGGTCGTGGTATCATAAAGCTTCTGTTGCAAGATTAATTTCTTTTCAGGTTGTTTTCAATTGCTCCCCATTACTGCCTCAGGCATCCCCTTCCTCACTCCCATGTCCTTTACTGCGGTCACCTCCCTGGAGTCTCCATTTCAGATGCTTGGGCCCAGGAATGGCCACATGTCCCTTCTTATGTCCCAGCATAGCTGAAGGAATGCTGCGGGTAGGGGTTTGAATGAGGTTGTCCTAAATGCTGGGTACACGGGGGACACACTACCCTCTTTCCTGACAGACTGGCATCATCAGAAGGCTTCCGTAAGGACCCCGCAGGGTAACTTTCCACCTCACAGTAACGTGGTGGGACATTCAAGCCAGGGACACAAACGTATAGCAACTGCAGGAAGAGCTTTATTTTTTTCCCAATCTCCTCCTTTCTCTTTCACCTCAAAGGTGCGTTCATGTCCCTCAGATTCCTCTCCCTTCACACTAGAGGGCGCTGGAGCCCGCGTTACAGCGCTCTCGGCTTGGAGGCCGGGCTGCAGGGAAAGGCCGAGAGCCATCTGGGTGCGTTCCAGAGGGTGGCACTAGCCCTGCCAGCGCCAGGCTCAGGGACTTTGTGTAGACCCCTAGAGGCAGTACTCTGGCGAGGATATAAACTCCGCCCGGGCACCCAGCAGTTCGGGTCCGGGCCCACCAGTGAGAGAAGCACTGGCCAGCTTGAGGGTGTCCTGCAGAATGTGACCTGGCTGTGAGAACTGGCTGAGGGGCTCAGGACCTTTTAGTCTGGAGTAAAGAAGATTAGGAGCCAACGGGAACTGTCTGCATTTATGAAGGGCTTTGGTTTGGAAGAGAAACTAGGCTTATTTTGTGTCTCTAGCGGCAGAACTAGGTGGGCCCTATAAATAACATTTATCGTGACAGATTTCATCTTGACGCATGAAGAGCTTGGTCCATGTGGAAGGAGGTGTGGTGTAAGCAGCAGGACTGCGGGCTGTGGAGGAAGCCCCGAGTACACCCTCTGACCGCCCCCCTAGACCTGTGACTCAAGCAAGTCACATAACCTTTCCTAGCCTCAGTCTTCTTAATCTGTAAAATGGGGATACTGATATCAACTTTGCAGGTTGTTGTGCAGAGTCAAACATTTGAATAAAGTGCTCAGCATAGTACTTAGCATGTTTTTTGAGAGTTCAATTAAAAAAAAAAAAAAGGCTGTAGTAGGTAACCTTGACCCCTTATCCTGAGAAAGGCATCCTGCCATCTGCCACCCATTATCTCTAAGCCCCCCAACAAGCCTGGGGGATGAGGAGGGTTCCCCTCTGATTTTACAGCCGAGGCAGGCGGGGTTCAGAGAGGGCAAGAGGTTCGCCCCGGGTTTCCGCCTGGGAGGTCGGGGCGCTGAAATCCTGAGCCGGGTCCGTGTGTCTTCCAAGCGGCACTCCTGCCAGGACACCACGCTGCCCGCCTGTGCCGAGGCGGGTCCTCACCCAGAGGGCCCCCGGGGCGGGCGAGCCGCGGGCGGGTTCCTCCGTCACACACACGACGACGCAGGGGCACATATGCTGCTCGGGCAGAGGCAGGGCGCGCTCTCCAAAGCGGGCGGCAGCCGCGGACGAGCGATCCAGGAGCGGGATCCGCGGAAGGGGCCGCGGAGGCCGGAGCCGCATCAATCCCCTGCCCCCAACGGGGGCGGCAGAAGGCGCAGCTGGCGGCCCGCAGCACAGCCGCCAGCGCGTCGGCTCGCCGCTGGGCTGCGCACAGCTTTCCTTCCCCCATTCGTTCTCGCTTTTGACACTTGCGATTATTACCAATCCTGGCGGCGCTGACGCGCGGCAGCGCAGTGGTTGCCATGGCATGCCTCATAGCGAGAGCAGATGTTTGGCAGGCTGGCTCCTCGCGGTCGGCACACAGCGGCGAGAGGCGGCCGAGCGCGGAATTGATGCGCGGGCTGCAGCCGGAGGGCGCCCCGCAGCGCCCCCTGGCGGGCGCGGGGCTCGCCA